ACAGTCTTGTTCAGCCTTCAGAGCCCTCACAGTAGAAGGAGCAAACCAACTCCTCCCACAAGTTGTCCTCCGACCACCACATGTAACACTGGTGCATGCACTCACACACCTATGCACACATACCAAAAAATGTTCAGAGAAAGCCCCTAAAGACTGTGTCGTGGAACAGCACAGACAAACTGTGCTCTCTGCCCACTGTCCTTGTTTGGGAATCTGTAGCTGGGAGAGGAGATGTCTTTACTCCTTATCCTCAGCCCCTACCTGTAGGAAGGGCTGTGTCTCAGTGCTCTGAGGCAGTTTCTGGCCATCAAAAGCTTACCGTTTCTGTCTGCTGTTACTACCCTAAACCTTGACCGCGAGACATGAGAGTCTGTAGCCTGAGTTAACCCCCACCCCACACCCCCAGGGGATGTGTGTGATTTTACAGTTACTGGGAATGGGATGGCCACCTTCTCTCTGGGGCTAGAAGTAAGCCAAGGTCTGAAGCTTTGGCCATTTAAACTCTCGTGCTGGGTTGTCAGAATTGATAAAAGTCAGACCTGGCTGTCAGGCTCAGCCAACCTGACAGAACCAGATTCTGCCTGCACGGGGTGGGCATGAATCTTCCCTGCACAGCTCTCACTCTGTCTCTCAGGGGTCCCAAAGGCCTCAGTGTGACCAGGGAGGAGCAGGTGTAGTCTTATAGGCCCTAGACAGTATTGGTGCCTCTGGATGGCAAGTGTGACTCCTCAGATACATGCCAGGCCTAAGGACAGTCAGAGACAAGCCATGGCCACATGGGTGGGGCCTGTTCCCTTTGGGTGTGCTCTGTGCGTCTTTCCTGGCCCTGGGTTTCTACAGTTAAGCTCAGTTGCAAGGTGACTTGAGTACCTGCAACAAAGTGAGGCCAAATTGGCAGGGCTGGCGGCCAGAGCCACTGTTCTCCTAGCAGGTGGTGCCCAGGGTTTTGTGGATGCCTTCAGTGGATTCTCAAGATACACCTGCCACCCTGACCCCATCTCGAATGTGGCCCTGTGCTTCCCCCATCCCACCCCATTGACCTGTAGTGGCTCCACAAGGGAAAAGGGACAGTGTTGCCATCTTTCTTTAGGATGGTGCATTTGGGGGCGGAATAGTAACAGCAGAGTTCAAGGGCAGGCTGATGTTTGCGTGCTCGCCTAGGCTGCTCTCTGCTCCCGTAGAGAACTAATGGTTGGTACTTCTTCCTTGGCAGAGAAAGGCTTCTGCTCTCCTGCTAGGCTTCCTCAGGGTGTCTTGCCATCCTTGTCAAGGCTGGGAAGTAAGGTTTATTTTGCTGTGTCCATTTCAGACAAGAAACCTCAACTTCAGAGATGTTTGAAGTAACCTGTTCATTTGAGGCAGGGCTAGGTTTTTTTTTTTTTTTTTTTTTCCACATTTTGCTAAAGCTGAAACTAGAACCTGGAACCTCATGCTTGGTAGACATGCCTTTTACCGTGGAGCTGCAGCCCAGCCTAAGCCAGGTCTTCCTCGCCTGATAGGCGCTCAGTTCTATCTGCTTTTCACAAAGAGATTCAAGCAGTGTGGTACCCTTGCCTGGCTTTACCATAAACAGTCCAGCAGAAGCGGCTGTTTTCCCAGGCCATCACTCGTGTCCATGAAAAGGAAACAGTGCCTTTGTACACTTGTTGCTTTTCTTCTTCAGTAAGAAGATTCAAGAAAGCCAGTGTTTCTGGCAAAGGTTTCTTCTTTAAGAGGTAGAGCAGCTCCGGCACTAAGATTGAGGCCTGGGGCACAGTGTAGTCAGGGGAGCAGGAGTCAGTTCTACTTTCCTACCCAGGGGCAGATTTAGTTTATGGGAGTGGTTCATACTCTGACCTGGAGCCCGGGCCCCTGACCTCCTTTGCTGGGGCCTTCAGTTGGACACGTAGCACCTTGCGTGTATACTGCCTCTATTGATCATTATGATACGTGGTGATCTGTGCACACGAGACAGAACATCTTGCCGTTTCTACTTCTGGGGGATGGCTTCAGCCAGCCCCGGGCGGAGCTGAGTCACACTGAAGCCTAGCCTCACTCAGCCTGACACTTCAGATCCCCCTCAGTGCTGAGCCTTTGATGTACCTGGAGTGGAGATTGCTGGCTTGCCAACTTTGGCATACTCTTGGGGATTTTGGATTCGACTTGTGGGGTCTTTGGCCTAGAAGATCTGGCCAGCCACTGTCCTTCAGGGCAGCTGCTCAGCACTGATGACTGTCGGACTGGTTTTCCCCAGCAAGAGCTTGCTTGATACCAGCTAGGTAAAAGGTAATTGCCCTGGGGTGTCCGTCCCAGGAACCTTCTCTCAGGGGGCCAGCCCTGTTTGTGCAGGGACAGGGCGTCCTAGAGAGCCAAAGAGCAGCCCCACCACTTGACAGCAGTAGAAAGGTCCTAGTTAAACTAGTGTAAATGGGAGAGCTGGCAGGAACTGCTGTCCTCCTGGAATGGGGGCCAGGTGTCTGGGATTCCCTTTCCCCAGCCAGGGCCCACCTCTTGCAGGTCGGAAGGCCCCTGGCAGGCTTTGAGCCCCTCCACCCGGCCCCACCCCAGGGAAAAGCTGCTGCTGAGGTTCTCACAGGTGCTTCAAAGCATGACTCACACCAGCTCTCCTCTATGCAAGTACAGCAGAAGCTGGCAGCAGAGACCCCAGCCTCTCCTCAACACAGCTTCTGCGCCACCACATGAAAGCTGGAGGTTCATTTGCAGGGTGCTTTGATGGCCCTGGCAGTCTCTAGCCAGTGACAGGAGGTTTGGCAGATGCAGTGAAGGCTAGCAGGAGGCTCCTGTGCTTGGCTTGGAAACAGGGCTTACACCCTGTGTTGTAGAGGTTTACCGGATGTCCAGCCCTGGTGGGGAGGGGGGAGCAGTGGCTCCCACAGTACTGAATGGGAGGAAAGTGAAACCATCGTTACACGCTGTAGGGACAGGCTCCTGAAAGAGAGCAGTGGCCACTGTTCTCTCTCGCCCTCTGCTTGGGTTCTTTAGGGTGCTAAGAAGGAAAGGCTGAGTACAGAGAGATATCCCAGGACATTCTACCCACCCATGTAACCAGCTTCCAGCAGGCAGCCATTCTCCTTCCTGCTCAAAGCCCTTCCAACTAGCCATGCTGTTCTCAAGCTTGTGCCTTTTCCCTCCCCCACCCCCACCCCCACCCCCCCCTTTGCTCTGTACTTGGTGTCCATGTCCTCAAAGGCCACAGGACCAGGTGACCTCACCCTTGGCCCCAAGCCATTCCCAGGCCCAGCTGCTCTGGCGACTTGGGGCCTGCTGAGGGGCTTCAGCCCATGTTTAGCTGCATTGTCTATTCCCTCATCCTTCATCTCCAAGCTCCTCGGGGATGGGGAAGCAGGACTTGGCTTTGCCTAGAAATGCAGATATGGTTGGGGCGTGGTGCTGTTTGCTCTTGGCTGCTCCACCACTGGCTCGGGGTGCCCTGGTTCGAGAAAAGGGCCTGTGGGTTGTCTGCGCTTGGGATACTTTTGAGAGTGAAAGGGCCATGCTGGCCAGTGTGCTGAGCAGCCAGGACAGTGGTCACTGAGTCAAAGCAGAAGAGACTTCAGATCTGGGAGTGTTAGGAGCTCCGCCATTTTGGAATGAATGGCTTCACCTCCTGTAACTGTCTTGCCTGGGGCCTGATTTCTGGACAGTGGCAATCCGCCCCACCCCCCGCCCCAAGTGGCCCAATTGCTTCTTCCCTTTTGCAATTTTCTCAGTTCTTTCTCCATGAGGGTTGTCTACACTGTCCCATCAGCTGAGTTTTCTCAGCACCCTTTCAATGCTAGTACAGTGTGTCTGTGGAGAGGGGCCTCCCGGTGACCCCTTCCACTGGCCCAAGACTACAAAACTAACTGGGAAGAACTTGGCAAAGCCTGGAAATGCTCAGGCTTGGGGCTTTCGGGGTTAAGTCCCTGCCCGTCAGGGACTTCTCCCAGAATGAATAACAACAGTGGGGAGACTAAGCTGAAAAGCCCAGCCTGCAGGGTGGGGAGGGGTCCCAGGGTGCCGGGTCTGGCGCCTCGCTTGGCAGCCCCTGTGCTTCCAGCCCCTGTGCTTCGGAGAATAGATAGGAAGCGAACAGCTCTGCAGCCTGGCCACCTCCCTCACCCCTGCAGCTTCGCATTGTCTTCATGGTACACAAGTGTGCGGTGCCCAGCTCAGCTAGCTCTGTCTGGCCTTTGTTACTTAGAACTTGGGATCAGGCTGCCCCTGAGTCTGTATAGTAAGTAAGGTCTTCGAAGCCAAAGTTAGGGGATCGTGCCTGGTCGTAGGCCTCCTCAGGCTCCCCGAGACAACCTCTGTCCCTCCTTGTCCACTCCCTCATACCTTGCCTATCAGGGAGAACTGAGGGACAGGGTTGATCCTAGCCTAATGTCCTTCACCGACACTGGTCTCCGAGCTTCCTTTCTCTAGAATCTGAATCAAATTATGGGCACACTCAGGCCTTAACCTTTCGTAGGGTTTTTCCAGAAAGATTCAGTTATGGCTCTTTTGATGTATGTATCTAATCAAAAGTTTTGTAGAGTATTATAACCAGGATGGACTTGCCCTTATCCCGTGCCCAGTAGACAGGTTCTTTGGCTCAAGACCTCTCTACCCATCTCTTCATCCTCCTGTGGCCAGTCTCGGAAGCCCAGGGCTGAAGTAGGAGTTGGTAATATTTTGGTCATGTTTCTGAAAGGCCCCTATCACCTCAGCCCACTTGTGGCTGTGTCTTCAGAGCATTCTCTTAAGTGTCTAGTGGGAGGAAAAGAAGAGGTCTGCAGGTTGCTCTTAGCTCCTTCTGTGCGTTGGCATTGGTATTTGTGGCACTCCTTGGGCTTTCCAGGAAGATAGGGGGAGCCAGTCCTTGCACAGCTGCTGTGGAAGGCATGTCCGAGGAAATTCCAAGCTGCAGGACAAGAGCAGGAGTGAGCCAGAGTCATTCAGGTGCAAGTAGATGGGGTGCAGCAGGGGAGAAAGGGCACATTTCTGGGTTTTCTTATTCATTGCCTTTTGCCCTACAGGTTGGAGGGATTCCATGACACACACTCGGAGGAAGTCCCTTCCTATGCTGAGTTCCGGCCCCACTGGCCGAGGGGAGCCCCTGCAGATGGAAGACAGCAACATGGAGCAGGGGGCTGAAGATGTGGAGCCCGGCATGCCTGAGAGCCCTGGACATCTCACAGGGCGCCGCAAGAACTACCCGTTGCGTAAGCGTTCACTGGTTCCAGAGAAGCCCAAAGCCTGCAAAGTGCTGCTGACTCGCTTGGAAAGTGTGGCTGGCCCACGGAGTGCAGATGAGGCTGACGAGCTGCCCCCCGACCTGCCCAAGCCCCCAAGTCCGACCCCCTCCGGTGAAGATGCCGGCCTAGTTCAGCCCCGCAAGCGGCGCCTCGCCTCCCTTAATGCAGAGGCCCTCAATAACCTGTTGCTGGAGCGGGAGGACACCAGCAGCCTGGCAGGTGCGCGCCGGAGCCGGGACCGGGCCACAGGGGCCTGGTCTTTCTCTAAGAAGCGACCTCGGTTGGAAGAGCTTGGAGAAGGAAGTCGAGACCTGTCCCCAGAGCCAGCCCCAGATGAAGGTGCCCGTCGAGATGGAGACCCAGCTCCCAAGAGACTGGCCAGCCTAAACGCAGCTGCCTTCTTGAAGCTCAGCCAGGAGCGGGAGCTACCTCTTCGACCTTCTCGAGCCCAGGCAGAAGCAGATGGGCGCTCCACTGAGCCCCTGGCACCCAAGATCCTGCGACCAAAGTGGGCCAAGGTCAATGGCAAGAACTGTCCCAAGGCTCGGCAGGGGCCTGGCTCTGGGGAAGCTACAGGGCCACCCAGCTGGCAAGAGCAGCCTGATGAGCCTTGGCCATCTGCTACTCCTCGTGGGTCACCCGTCCAGCCATCTCCCCAGGCCCCAGGCAAGGCTCTGGAGAACCCCTTGCGCCCCAACCTGCCTCTGCTGATGGGTGGGCAGGCAGCCCTGAAGCCAGAGCCTGGGCGTCCAGGCGAGGAGTCACCTGCCCCCAAGCAGGAACTGCATCAGCCCTCTTTCCCTGCACCTCAGCTGTCTCCGCTAGCGATGCCTGGCAACCCAGCCGACTACAGTGGTCTGTGTGGAGGGCCTGAGCTCACTGCGCTTGGCAGCTTCTACCTGTACTGTGGCCAAGACGGGCTGCAGTGTGGGGGCTACTCCTCCTGCCCCATGCTCCCGGAAGGCAAGTTGTCTCCGGTGGCAGCCCCCAATGAGGGGCTGCTCATGGCCCCGAGCTCAGTGCCCTCTGGCATCCCTTTCCAGCCCCCTCCCTGGAGCTCATCTCGCTACTGTTCTGGTGAGGACACTGGAGTGAATGGCTACAGCATCTGTGGGGTGTTGCCCCTGTCTCTCACCCGAATTGGCACTACCTGTGGCAGCTGCCCCTACAAGATGCCTTTTACTGCAGGTAAGCCGTACACGGTGCACTACGGAGTTGTTTAAGATGCGGCATCCCAGGAGGCTGGGGTGTAGCTCTGGCCGGGGCTCTGTTGGGTCTAGCTACTACCTGGGAGGCAGGAGCTTTGAGAAGGGGGAGTATCTACTCACGTAGGCAGTGTTCTAGACCTAGGAACAATCCCAGTGCCCTTGGTCGGCTCTTAACAGCCTCTTTGCACAGACTGTCAGGGAGATTTGGCTTGGAAGTTAGTTAACATTGCCATAGAACTGGGACAAGGTTTCTCCTCCCACACGGGGATATTCTCCTTCTTGGGCTTCTGTAGGCGCTGTGGTACAAGCCTATAAGCTCAGCTACATGGAAGGCTGAGTCAGGGTTCAGGGCCAGGCAGGGTCACAGAAGGAGACCTGTCTCAAACAAAAGGAGAAAAAGGGCTGGGCTCAGTGGTGATAGGAATGCTCACTTAGTGTGCTTGAGGCCCTAGGTTCAATCCCCGATCCTGGGGGAGAAAACAAGGCTACTATCTTTGCCAACTTATTCCCACGTCTCCTCTGTCCTGGGCTCTCCCTTGGAAAGCTAATGTTCTTCATGTTCCAGAAGTCCGGACCATCTCTGTGCTGGCTGAGTTCAGCATGCACAGGGAAGGTTGGTGGTTATGGTCTCAGGAAGTAGTGCCAGCTGTGGTGGGATAGTTTTGTCCTGGCTGTACAGGCTTTGAAAAAGACAAGGTACAAGGGCACGGCTTTGTGAAGGGCTGAGTGTGGTCAGGGTGAGTGGGCCTACTCAGGAAGAGACAGCAGTGCTATCTGGTGTGCTTGCAGTGGGAGCAGCCCCACAGCCATGTTGTCTTCAAGCCCCAGACACCTGCATGTTTCTGGCTCAGCTGGTAAAACAGCATCAGACTGTAGGTTGTCAACACCTGCCTCTCCAGGCTGCTTTCGCCAACTTCTGGCTAGAAATGAGGTGACTAAAGCCATCCTGACCAGCAGGTCTGCCCTGCGCAAGAGAGGAGGGCTGGACCCTCCCTATGTTCTTCCCTCTTCCCCCCACGTCCCTTCATGTTGGGGTCTATAAAACAACTTTATAGCCCACTTGGCTCTGGCCAGACTGGTTATATCAGGTTCTAGCATGAATTGGAGTCCTAAGAAACGAGCAGGCTGCTGCTTGGCTCTTTTTCCTAGATCCTCACCCTTCACCCTGAGAAGCAAGACCACCAGTGAGCACTGTGTGTCAAGCACCATTCTCAGTGCCTGACACACAGGTCACAAGGTGTGTAATTAGGCAGACTCCTCCAGAGTGCCTTCATTGGAATGTTCTCCCCTGCTGTCTTTCCTCACGACCATTGGCTAAGCCAGGAGCCTGTTTCCTCCATTTACGAGCGGCAGTATTGGTACCTACCTCAGGGATGTTGTAAGGGTGAAATGAGTTAATATATAAATAACAAAAACAGTCAGGAAATTCTGTGTCATACTCTGAGCACTACTTAACATTGCTCAGAGGGGCCAGAGCGACTTGCCTGAGGTCACGTGGCTGGTAAGTGGTAGGTGTGGGACTCAATCGCAGTCTGGTTGACTCCAGAACCCCTCCCTACTCCTCAGTACCGTGCAAACCCTAGAGAAACTTAAGTCACAGCTAATGAGGATGTTTTGCTGTTACTCTTTCTAGTTAGAAAGGGACACCCAAATGTCTGCAGCTTGGTTTCCAAGGTGAAGAAAGGCCCCTGTCCCACCTGCCACCTCACTAGCCTTTGAGTTGCACCTTGGAACGCAGTTGGGCTTGAGACCTGAAAGCAGGTCACTGGACAGGGGCTTGTCCTACTTGCCTTGACCCACTCTCCTTTTTCCAGAAGGCTGCAGGTCCCTCGGTCAGTTGGAATTTCCTCTCCCAGAAGCTGGCCACCCAGCCTCACCTGCTCACCCCCTCCTGGGATGTCCTGTGCCCAGTGTGCCACCTGCAGCAGAGCCCATTCCCCATCTTCAAACGCCCACCTCAGAGCCCCAGACGGTAGCCCGGGCATGCCCTCAGAGTGCCAAGCCTCCGAGTGGTTCCAAGTCAGGTCTACGCACAGGCTCCAGCTGTAGGCACACTGCGAGGAGCAAGACCGCCCGCAGGCCCAGCCACCCCAAGCAGCCTCGTGCCCAGCGCCCACGGCCTCGCCGCCGCCGCCGCCGCCGCACTAACGGCTGGGTGCCTGTAGGTGCCGCCTGCGAGAAGGCAGTGTATGTCCTGGTGAGTGTTAGCGCTTAGCTGATGGGAATGTGTGTCCCAGTGGGACACGGGACATGCCTGTTCAGGAACCGGTCATGAGGCTTCTAGCCCTCTCCCCCAGTTCTGTACCACATGTCCTGGTGGTGTCTTACTGTCACGTGCTTCTCAGTGACCTGAGCTTCCGCTTCCCATCCCTGCTCAGTCCACCTTCCATCCTTTCAGAGAGCAACGGTAGGAGGTGACAGCAGTGTCACCTGAAGTGCTGAGCAAGCCAAGCGTGTCCGTCACCTGCTTTGTCCTCTTCAGTCCTCACCACTGCCGCTCCTTATGTACCCCCACGGTCTCTTTTACAGATAAGGAAACTGAGGCTAAGCCAACCTGCCCAAGGCTTTGCCAATTAAAACGGTTATTTAAGGGTTTAAATCCAAATTGTCCCATTACTCAGATGCTTAGCGAGCCAGCCACATTCCCACTCTTTCACATTACTCTTTTCCAAGCATAGGCGTTCCCCACCCCCCAATCCTGTCTCCTAAAGCCAGGCTTGGACAGGAGGACCCAGCCTGCAGCCATGCTTAGTGGGTTGACTGCATTGAGGAAGTAGAGTGGATATTAGTCTGTGTCCCTCCGTCCTCACTCGAGAGGGGCCCTGAAAACTTACTTGTGTCACTGGTTCATTGCCCAGGATGAGCCGGAACCCGCCATCCGAAAGAGTTACCAGGCAGTTGAGCGACATGGAGAGACAATCCGAGTCCGTGACACTGTCCTCCTCAAGTCAGGCCCAAGAAAGACGTCTACACCTTATGTGGCCAAGATCTCTGCCCTCTGGGAGAACCCTGAATCAGGTACCTTTCCCTCAGACTGGGAAGCAGAGGAACAACTACCTTCAGTTGGCCCCTGCCTAGAGTTTGGCCTGGCAGAAGGCCACTGTTCTTTCTGCCTACCCTTCATTTGGGTCTGTCTCCTGCAGAGGCTGTGGCAACCTTGTGGCTTGAGTTGCTATGCACTCATGTTAGCCCCCAGAGCCTGAGCGCTTGTCCCATACATTACCCATCAGTGCCTTCTTGCCCATCTCTCCACGTCTGACAGCATTCCAGGTTGCCGAATGCCTGGCCTTGGTCGGGGGACACAGGTGGCCAGAGCCTGCAGGATAGGGCCGAGAGCTCGGGTTGGACAAACCCCTAGGGCAGGTGGCCACTGTCCTAACTCAGCAGGCTTGTCAGCTCCAGCCATGACCTCTTCTGTTGTCCCCCTAGGAGAACTGATGATGAGCCTCCTGTGGTATTACAGGCCTGAGCACTTACAGGGAGGCCGCAGCCCCAGCATGCATGAGGTGAGCTGCCTGGTGGGGGGTGGGGATGTTTAACAGGGGCATAACAGGAGATTGTGGCATTAAGACACAGCATAGGGAAAGGGCAGCTAGGAAGCAGCCAAGTCCTTTCCCCAAGTCCCCAAACACTGTCCCAACTTACTTTCCAAATAGGAGTAATGGCCCTTGAGGGCCAGGGGCTTTGAAAATGGGAGTGAGTAGTTAGGGTCTAACAACAAGCTGGTGAGGTGGTGGGTAGCACTGCAGACGTGGCGGCTCTTAGCGCCTAGCCCCTCTGAGCTCAGTTCCCGTGGCTGAGGGCAGTCCAAGCTCACCTTTGATTTCCTTCCTCGTTGCAAGGACTTTTCTTTTTTCTTCCCCCCCCCCACCCCTTTATTTCTTTTTTTTTTTTTTTTTTTTTTTTTCTCTTTGAGACAAAGGCTCACCGTACAGCTCTGGCTAGCCTGGAACTTGCTATGGGTAGACCACACTGGCCCTGGACTCAGAGATTCATCTGCTAGAACGAAAGGCTTGCACCACGCACTGCCCCTTTCTGGGACTTTTCATTTCATGGGGGGATAGGGACCAGTTTCCTTTCCTCTTAGGGCTGGTGTGGGCAGTTAGATTAAACTCCGTTGCTAGCTGGAGTTGGCTCTGATCAGTATTCCCTGCGGAGGACTCGCGCCTGCCCTGTCCCTGGAGCTAGGTGCCTCTTTATAGCTCCCATAACCAACCTGCTCCTGTCCCCCCCTTGAGCCTTTGCAGAATGAAGTTTTCGCATCGAGACATCAGGACCAGAACAGTGTGGCCTGCATTGAAGAGAAGTGCTATGTGCTAACCTTTGCCGAGTACTGCAGGTAGGTGCCTCGGCCACCAGCGTCTGACCTCTCCCTCGGACTCAACCGGGGTGATACAGGGCGACTTCATGGAGCTCTAGTCACCTTATGCCCTGGCCCAGTCTTACCGATTCCGAATGTTCTTCCCTAAAACCTTTCTCTTAAGTAGACCTTTTTTTGGTTGGTTGGTTGGTTGGTTGGTTGGTTGGTTGGTTGGTTGGTTGGTTGGTTTGGTTGAGGCAAGATAGTCCTCGCTGTCCTGGAACTCACTTTGTGGGCAGGCTGGCCTCAAACTCAGAACACTGAGCTCCACCTGCCTCTGCCTCCCAAGCACTAGGATTAAAGGTGTACACCACCACACCTGGCTGGGGTTTTATTTTTTTAATTAACAAATAGAACTGTCCCCTATTAGAAATCACAAGTTAACCCAACCCTCCTGATCATGTTGTGGCCCACTGCTGTTCTGAGAGAAATGTAAGGAGATAGCTATCTGGGGAGGAGGCCTTGGAAGCACAGCACTTGGTTAAGGGGCCATGGGTTGCTGGCCTATGGTTCTCTTGGGGGGGAGGGAGGGCAGGGGCCCTATGGATTCTGGGTCCTATGGGAGAAAGGCATCTAAGTCCTTAGCTTGGCCTGGGGTGCCCATCTGAGCACCCCGGGGTGGAGATTCCCGAAGATTCAGTCTTCCCTGAGGTTGGGCCTTGTGTCCAGGGGCTGAGGTCAACTGGAAGTTGGCGGAGTGCACACAGCCTTGGGGATAGGAGTAGAGGCATGTCCCCTCTCAGCTCCAGCTCTGTGGTAGGGCGAAAAAGGAATTGGTTTTCCTGAAAAAGTGACTGTGCTCAAGACAGTAATGATTTGTCATGCAGATTTTGTGCCATGGCCAAGCGCCGGGGCGAGGGCCTTCCCAGCCGAAAGACAGCACTGGTGCCCCCGTCTGCAGACTATTCCACCCCGCCCCACCGCACAGTGCCGGAAGACACGGACCCCGAGCTGGTGTTCCTTTGCCGTCATGTCTATGACTTCCGCCATGGCCGCATCCTCAAGAACCCCCAGTAGCCGCTTCATACTCACACTGGGGGCTGCCTTCGGGAGAGTGGGGCCTGGGGCAGGGGCCACTGCTTGAAGCACAGCACTTGGTTAAGGGGCCATGGGTTGCTGGCCTATGGTTCTCTTGGGGGGGAGGGAGGGCAGGGGCCCTATGGATTCTGGGTCCTATGGGAGAAAGGCATCTAAGTCCTTAGCTTGGCCTGGGGTCCCCATCTGAGTACCCCAGGGTGGAGATTCCCGAAGATTCAGTCTTCCCTGAGGTTGGGCCAAGCCTGAGAGACATGGGCCAAGGAAGGGTGGGGGCATGTAGAAGGGGTAAGGTCCTTCCAGAACCAGGCCCACCAGGCCCTTTTCTAGCCTCCTCAGGCCTTCCAAGGGGAGCAGGAGCCAGCTTTACCTCACCCACTGTGACCCACTGCTTCCCTGTCAGCCTGGGGCCTGGCTCTGCAGATTCTAGCACAGCGCTGGCTTGTTCCAGTTGAGTCAAGGGAGCTGAGCTTTGACTTCCTCCTCCTGGACTCGAGGCTTTTCCCTGGCTTTCTTCCTTTACCCTTGCAGTAGCCACTGGTGCTGGCACAAGTTGACCCTGCCCACCCATGGGTGTCAGCCTCCTGTCAGCTTTCCATTAAGGGCCACCCAGCAGGTCTGGCTTCCCAGAATACTGGTCAATATGAAGTTTGTCAAGTCTGGAAGAGCAGATGAGTGCTGGGGAGAGGGTGGGGGGCAGGGGACAAGGGAAATTGCTACCTGATTTGTTGAAGATTTTTCCTCTTGCCTTATACTTGGAGGTTCTGGGAAACCTCTTGCAGAACTTCACACATGACTCTTCAAGCCACACCCACCTGAAATCAAACCAAAGGAGTGCTGTGGCTCCCCCTGCCCTGCCACCCCTTACCCCAGTCTTTTGTAGATTGCACTAATTTACATCCCAGTGAGAATCAACACTGTATCAGTCCACAGACCCGAGCTGCAGCCACTTCCTCTAGGAGCTAGGACCTGCATTTTCAGTTTGTTCCTGTTGCCCAGAGATCGTTCTGGCCTCGTGCTCCCTGCCAGGGATTGATCAGGAGGCTCAGTCCCCTGTTGGCCTGGCCCCGGGCTTTCCGAGGGGCTGAAAGCCTGGTTATCTATCTGTACCTTGTTTGTACCAAAGAGGAGCATGGGGTCTGGGAGGGTGCAGCGTGGTGCGGTGTGGTTTGGGCCCAGTGCTGGGGCCCAGTGCTGGGACCCTGCCGCCCAGGCACTTGTACAAGAGCATGCTTCAGGGGCATATGCTGTGCAAGGTGGCACTGGGCCCTCCTAGAGAGGAGAGACACCGGTCCTGCAGCTCGAGGATATGGCACCGGGGCGAGGACAGCCAGGCACAGGCCTCGGCGGGAGGTAGTAGTGAGCCCTGAAGGCAAAGACTTGGCAACCCCAGGTCCAGGTCCTGGTCCTTAGAAGATAAATTACTCCTTTGGGTAATTGGACTGGGTGAGGCTTGAAGGCTTCAGAGGTTAATCTTTGTCTTGGAAGCCCTGTCCCGTACCCAAAGGAAAGACCTTGTATTGAACAAGCTCTTTGGAGGAAGGCATCAGTCTGAGAGAGCAAGGCATAAGTAAGTTGTCAGAGCTGTGGTAGACCCCTTTGGAGCCTGCTCACTCTAGGGTGCTGCCAAGGAGCCCAGCCTCACCCACGGGAGAGGAGATAAAGCCCTCCTAGCAGGTGGGGCTACTGCCCAGATGTTAAATGCTTTTGGAATCTCTTTAGATGTGGAAATATTTTTTCGAACATGAAAATGCAGCTGGTAGAATTTCAATGGAAGTATAATCCATGTAAAATATATTTTAGTTGATATTTTGTAAAATGCACTTTTTGTGTGTGTCGATCCTGGTTTCCCAGATCTGTATTTCAGTGTTTACAAGGGAGGGGGTACTTTCCTGACCTCCCTTTTGACAGAGATTAGAAGTACTTCTTTAAGAAAAATAAATAAATTTGAGAAATTGTATTGATTTAGAAAAGAATCAATTCCTGTGCGTCCTGTCATTTTGAGGGTTTTGTTTGGGGAAGTTGGTTTGGGTTTTGGCATATAAATATGAATGGGCTCACCATTCTTGTTTCAGGGGTTCTGGTTAATTACGCCTTGCAGCACGAGTATTTACTAAGGCTAATGAGGGTGCAAAGCTAGAAAAACAGGAAAGTGAGAAGAGACATGAAATGGGAGCTTGAGGTTAACAACGAGGTAGCCACAACTACTGTCTAGGTTTGTGAAATTCTTGGGTTGCCGGTCCTGGTCTGGTCAGTGACCTGAGTGGGAGTTAATCTAGATTTTCATAAAGAATATCATACCATAACCTTGGAGAACTGACTAGAGACTTCCATATTTGATGTATTGCAACTGACACTCCTTTTGTGGTGTGGAAACCGGACCACATCTTGGGTCCAGTGGTTTGACTGGCAGGGACCTCTTTACTGCTTTGTCATTCTGGTATGGTGATGTGGAACCTAGCCCACATCAAAGTGAAAGCTCATCCTCAATGCTCTCCATTTGTGATACGGACAGTCAATCAGTGTGCTGGCCGCAGGAGTTTAAAGAGGTGTCATTTTACAGACAGATGTAGTCCCAAGGAATCCCACCACCAGAAATCTATGTACATTAACTGGAAGCCAACCGCTGTGGAGTGAGGGGTCACAGGTGGGCCTCTAATGCACCTCAGCTGGGGTGCAGGGAGGCCAGTGAGCCTCTCAGTTCTGCCTCTTACCCCGCGTCCTCTGTGTGGCTGGGTTTGGAGGGCTGTCCGTGAACGACACACACCTCATCTTAACCCTCAAGTCCCCTCATCTGCCAGATCTTGTCACCATTATCACCTAGTCCTTCCATCACCCTCTGGGTATAACGTGTCCCCAGGTCAACACGTCCTCCTCCTGTCTAGTGTCGCGCTCTGTCGTGACTCGAAATTGTTGTAGAGTAAGATCAACAGAGATGGACATTGTGGAACATGCCTGCAGTCTCAGCAGTAGGGAGTCAGGCGGGAAGGTCTGGAGGTCAGCCTTGGCTGTCCAGTGAAACCCTCTAAACATCTAAAGAACAAAAAGCCCTGCAGTCACAGCTACTGCAAAGTCCATACAACAGGGATACCCATAGATCCCTAACGCCCGGCAAGTGGCTGGGACGGCTAGAGGAAATGATGCAAAACTTTTAGCAGGCACTTTCTTTGGCCCCCAATCTTGTCTCCGTTTCACAGCCTTGCTGGTTCCCCCACATGTAGAATCAAGATTGAGAGGAGACATTAGCCAGAACTTGACAGAGGGGTCCTGTCCTGGGCTGGGGGCGGTAAGGGCTGCTAAGGACCATGCTTCCAGACAGGACAGATCTCCTTTATGTCTGGACGCGCGGAGTGGTGGGCAGTCAGTCAAGTCTTCAGACAAGCAGTTTAAGGCAGGATGGTGAGTGCAAACTTTAAAAGTCCAGCACCCTGAGGGCACGTGTCGAGAGACGCGGGACCTCAGCCAAGCTCTTTCCCGCTTTTCAGATCTCACTGAGCTTTTGTCCGCTAGGCCCAGGGGTCTGGAGTGGCCCCGGCTCCTGCGTCCTTTCTCGGGCGAGGGTCCGCCTGCGGCCTCGGCAGACTGTTCCCGGGACTCGGGCACCCGCCCCTCTCCCCGCCCCCCCGACGTGGGCCCGCCCCCGCGCCTGTATCACGGGGGGGGGGGGGGCGGGGGGCGGAGAGCAGCCGGGCGGGACATCCGGGCCTGGTCCCTCGCTGCGCCCGGGAGCCGGCCACCCACTAACCCGCCCCTCCCGAGACCTCCAGCCCCAGCCGCCTTCGCCTCTCTTGCAGCCTCGAGATCGGCGAGGTCTGCCGGGAGCACCATGTTCCCCCGCCCTCTGACCCCGCTGGCGGCCCCGAAAGGCGCCGAGAGCCTGGGCCGCACCCCGAGGCGGCCCCCCTCGGGCAGGGCCCGGGTTGGACTCGGCGGGCAGCCCCTGCTGCTGCCGTCCATGCTGATGTTCGCCGTGATCGTGGCCTCCAGCGGGCTGCTGCTCATGATCGAACGGGGCATCCTGTCGGAAATGAAACCCCTTCCCCTGCACCCTCTCAGCCACAAAGGCGAGGCCTGGCGCGAGACGGCTCCCAAGCCCAGAGGCCTATCCTTGGATGCTGGGGACTCGGACCTGCAAGTGCGGGAGGACGTCCGAAACCGGACCCTGAGGGCGGTGTGCGGACAGCCAGGCATGCCCCGGGACCCCTGGGACTTGCCGGTGGGACAGCGGCGCACCCTGCTGCGCCACATCCTCGTGAGTGACCGCTACCGCTTCCTCTACTGCTACGTCCCCAAAGTGGCCTGCTCTAACTGGAAGCGCGTGCTCAAGGTGCTGGCGGGCGTCCTGGACAACGTGGACGTTCGCCTCAAGATGGACCACCGCAGTGACCTGGTGTTCCTGGCGGACCTGCGGCCTGAGGAGATTCGCTACCGCCTGCAGCATTACTTCAAGTTCCTGTTTGTGCGAGACCCCTTAGAACGCCTCCTGTCTGCCTACCGCAACAAGTTTGGGGAGATCCGAGAGTACCAGCAGCGCTACGGGGCGGAAATTGTCAGGCGCTACAGGCCTGGGGCGGGCCCCAGCCCTGCGGGGGACGATGTCACCTTCCCGGAGTTCCTCAGATACCTGGTGGACGAGGACCCCGAGCACATGAATGAGCACTGGATGCCTGTGTACCACCTGTGCCAACCGTGTGCTGTGCGCTACGACTTCGTGGGTTCCTATGAGAGGCTGGAGGCCGATGCCAACCAGGTGCTGGAGTGGGTGCGGGCTCCACCCCACGTCCGGTTCCCAGCTCGCCAGGCCTGGTACCGGCCGGCCAGCCCGGAAAGTCTGCATTACCACCTGTGCAATGCTCCACGGGCCCTGCTTCAAGATGTGCTGCCCAAGTATATCCTGGACTTCTCCCTCTTTGCTTATCCGCTGCCCAATGTCACCAGGGAAGCCTGTCACCAGTGACGGTAGGCCAGCACCTTTTGGAGTTTGGATTTAATGCCAGCGGCTTTGAGGCGTCTTTCAGAAACACTCCTGGTGCCAGGGCTTGCTGGTTTGTCTAGATGTCTCCATATCCCAGTGGTAAGGACTGTCCACAGGAGGTCCTTGCCCACAGTAGCTCAGTGGACAGATCTAGAAAGGAGGCCTGCTGCTCTCACCGGTGGACTCTCGTAGGCCTGTGGCATCCTTGTCTGGACACCAGTGTGTTATTAAAGCCATATGTTTGATCGCAAGACTGACCCCAGGCTCCTGGCTGCTCCAGGATCCAGGGCCTGTTGTAACTTAACCTGTGGCCAAATCCCAAAGGTGGTACTAGGCAATGGCATGACGGTGCCTAGGACCAATGGCTCTGACCCTCCGCTCACCCTTCCCATGGACCTCAGGACTGGCGTGAGCTGTTGTGCCTTAGAAATGAATTTCGTGCTTTTCTACTCCAGACTTTAAATTTAGTACTCTTGCTAGGTCCGTTTCTTTTTTCTAGGGAAAGAAAGAGTGAAGTGGGGCCCTTACCTCGCAGCTCTAAGACCCAGGCCCTCAAGCATCCAAAGACCCCTGTGCCTGACCTCTTCCTGGAGCTCTTGGAGCAAATTCAATAAGCCTCCCTTCCCTCCGAACCTTTTGAGACTGTGACTGTGGCTGGTGTATCTGGCTGTCACTTGTCTAATGCATTTATTTAAAATGTGTATTTTGATAGAATCCTTGTAAGGGCTGACTTTTAATAAAGCTTTTTTATATATATACAAAATGAGCATCTCTGTGATTCCCCTCAGTTCCCATGGGTGCTGGAAGACTCCTCCATGCTTGTTTCCCTAGGTCAGAAGAGGAACCATGCAGGTAGCAACAATAAGACAAAGTAACTAAACCTGCTTAAGCAGGTCCGGCGGCCCCTGTCACACCATGGAGCCTTTTGGGACTCCTAATAGGCTCACAGACTCCGTCGCTAAGATGCCACTTAAAAGACAAGGTCCGCCAGGGGAAAGGAGTGCACACAGCTTTAATGCAAGAACTCTAGGGGCGGAGGTGGATGCTCTCTGCGGTTGAGGCCAGCCTGGTATGTCTAGGGAGTTCCAGGCCAGCCAGGGATAGACAGTGTGCCGTCAGGTACATAGCATACCTACCTGGATTAGCCTTTAATGGGAACGAGGGCTGGTTTAGCAGTTATGTCCACAAGGACTTGAGTTCGATTCCCAGCACCCATCTCGGGTGGCTCCCAGCTGCCTGTAGCTCCAGGGGAGCCAACAGCTCTGACCTCTGCGTGCCCATACACACGTGGCATATACCCATTCAGATCTATACATATGATTAAAAGTGAAGTAAAGCTTGAAGAAGGGACTGAATACGAGGCATGGGCTCTGCATTAGGTTAGGCAGGAGCTCCCCCACCCCCTTTTTTTTTTTTTTAGATGGAATTCGGTCTCTGTGTAACCCTGGCTGCCCTAGAACTTGTTATGTAGACCAGGCTGGCCTCAAACTCAGAGATCCACCTGCCTCTTGTCACCTGACCTCTGGAATTAAGGGTGGGAGCCATCACACTTGGCTAATTTTAAAGGCAAAGTGGGGCCACTGTATTTTTTATTTTGAGATGGGGGGGTCTTACTATACCTAGGCTAGACTTAACATATAATCTGAGCTGCCTTAACCTCTGGAGTAGCAGGGATTATAGGTGCCTACCATCATGCCAGCTAGGAATACCAGTAGGAAATACTGGCCCACACCCCAGTATTTCCAAACAAAAAAGGGGGATTGCTGGGAGAGCAAGGGAAGACTCGAGAATTTACAAAAAGGGATTGTCAACAAGTTCCATGAGCCTCAAGCACCTCCGGAGTCCTCCACTCCTTTCTTACCGGAGCTTATAGGAATTCTGAACCTGTATCATCCAGTTGGTCTCCTGTTTAGTGCCACAGGCAACCTAGAAAGCCCAGAGAATGTGAGGCCCGGCTGTTGGCTCTGTTTCATTCCATTTAATGCTGAGGAGTTCAGTTCCCTAAATCATCATCCTGCTTTACAGAGCGTGTGAGTAGCCGCCCAAAGAGTCCACCCCAGGGACATGAGCCTCCCAAGTAGGAGGGCAGAAGAAAAGGGCAGACACACAGACAGATGGGCCACACTGACCAGGTTGGGGGATCTGGAAAGTTTGTGGAAGGCGGGAGTAGAGAGAAGAAAGGCTAAGAAGGCAGGACTTACATGAAAGACTGATGGGCTAGTGGGGTGGGAACATTTTGCAAAATGTCTCCGCTCTTTGATTTGGAAAGAACTGAACCCAGCCTAACTGGTTGGCCAGGAGCACTGCTCTGAAGGGGAAGGGGGGTAGGGCAAAATGAGGTTCTTGATTAGCCTATTGGTTCTTGTCCACCTGGCAGAAAAGGGATGCTGGGCCACAGAGCATCCTGCTAGCCAGAGGTGGACGGCTGTGATGTAGAAGAAGGGTAGGTTAGAGCAGAGAGAGCAACAAGACAAATGGCACCTGCTGGGCCTTTTTGCTTAGAATCAGCCAAGGAATTTGTCACTAAATTTTCTCTCCAGGAAATGCACTTCTTAAAAAAGATCCGCTCTGGGCCCCACACACATAGGTAACAGATATACAGCTTGGTCCTCATGTGGGACCTCTAACAGCAGGAGCAGGGGCTGTCTCTGACGCTGTTGGCTGCCTGTGGATGCCTTTCCCCTAACTGAGCAGCCTTGGCTAGCCTCAATAGAAGATTCGCCCAGTGCTACTTGACGTGCCAAGGTGGGTTGATATCCGTTGGAGGTCTCCCTTCACTGAGAAGGAAGGGAGGTGGGCAAAGGAGAAAGGGAGGGGAGGGGAGAGGGAGGGACTGTGAGGAGAGGAGGGAGGGCAAGTTCCGATAGGGATGTAAAGTAAATAATTTTTAATTTAAAAAAAAAGAAGAATAATTTTTAAATCCTCAAGGAAATGACAAGACTTGGGCCCAGCTGTCTCCAGTGGGAACTGGCTTTCCCTCAGTGCCCAGGACAGAGCTGGAAGGGGCTTTGGGCTCTGGCTCACCAAGGAAAGGGACTTCTCAGGACTGGACTCCAAAACTGCACCTTCTGAGAATTCCTCCCTTCCCCTGGGTCAGCTGGGACTCCTAGCCAGAGCCAAACCCTCTGCTACAGGCTGGCCCCTAGGAGAACAAGGGCACCTTTAAAAGTCACTCCACCCAGGACAACTCTGGTTCCCTCGACACAGAGGGCTAGGACTAGCACTGTCTAACTTCCGTCATGGTTGGGGCCCAAGATCAGAGGGAAAGGAACGAGCCCCGTAGGGTCTGGCCCTCTGAGTCTGAACCCTAACTCCATTTCCAAACTCCAGTGCTCATCCATTTCTCCGCCTGTCTGGGGCTGTCTGGCACAGAAGTCACCTTAAATTCTCAGGTCCTTTTCCCTCCCTGTAGGAGATCACATCACCCAAGACCCTGCAGGAAGCCATAATAAGTGCAGAAGAGCTGCTGAACCACCTCTCCGGGAGAACACAGAACCCTCATATCTCCTAGGGGGTCCAATCACTAGAGGGGCCAGATTCCCAAGCCCTCTCCTAGGATGGACCCCCGTGACTTTCTTTTTCAAGCCAGCTTCTGTCTGACCTGCTTTCCAGACTCCAAAAAAAAAAAAAAAAAAAAAAAAAAAAAAAAAAAAAAAAAAAAAAAAGTAACTAACGATGGCTGCTCTAAATTTTAAGATCCCAATCTGTACTGTATGCATTCCTCACAACTCAGTACAGTAAGTAAAATCTGATTCTATCCTAGAGAGGAGGCCTGAGGTGGGGAAAGAGACTGAGGATTAAAACCCAGCTCCGTCTAGTGTTTGCCTCTGGAGAGCGAGCTTTCGAGAACTGCAGGTGACCCAGTCCGTGGTGTTTGCTGTGCGCCATGTGTTCCTTTTCTTTTTCTCCTGAGTTTTTGCACCCGTTTCCAGGC